GGAGGAAGATGCTTTTGCTGTCGCGAAGCCATTTTCTCCATTGCGAAAGTGTCAGGGGGGTCAGCTCTGATCAGCTGGCTGCTGTGCCCGGCCTGATCCTGGGGGAGCACAGCTGGCGCCCGCTGCTCGCCCAAGCCGAGGGCAGCTGGGGAGGTCTCACGGCCGCTTTCTATCTGTTTAAAAACATGTTTTTCTCAGGAGTATTTTTGAAATTCTTAACAGAAACTTTCAGCAAAAAACACCACTTTTTTTTATTCCTTAATACCGACATGTCAGCATCTTCTCAAACCGCTGAGCCCCTTTGCTCCTGGGAGGATTTTTTTCCAAAAGGAAATATTTTCTCCCTGCCTGAAAGTGTCCATATTAATATTAAAATTACAATTAGCGGGTGAAACATTTAAAACCTCTTGATGGGACATGAAAAACGACAGGGTTGCCGGGCTGGGGAGGGCAGGATGGGGGCTCTGTGCTGGTCCTGGCAGTTCTTGCTGCCGTGGTTTGTGAACATGCTTGTGCCATTGCAGAGCTCCCCTCCTGCCCTTCAGCTAAAGCACCCAAGGTGGTGCAATGCTGGCAGCTTTAGTGGAGGGCAGAGGGGCTGGGAGCTGGCCGTGCAGGTCACGGCATCACCACGTGCGGAAGGGACGGGGCTGGCTCTGTTGGCGTCGACACGTTGCCCTAGCAGAGCTCCGGCAGCTCCATGAGGACCGGCCCAGTCCCTCCCTGCAAATGCGGGAAGGATTTGTGGAGCTCCCCGTGGAAGTGAGCATCCTGACCTCTGCGCAGGTGCCCTGTTTGCATGATGCAGGACGTTAAATCTTGCCTTAATGTGACTGCCGAACACCGGTTTTTGTGAAGTGTGCCGGGCACTTCCCCATAAATAAATGATGGAGCATTATTCAGTCCACTTAGATCAATACATCAGCTTGACAAGTTCCAGTTCTGGGAATTTTCTGTCCCCCTGGAACATCTTCTCTGCAGCTGTGCTGCTCATAAACCACGGTGTGTAGCTCAAACAAGCTCCAGGGAGCAGGGCATCAGGATCTGGCTGTGTTGGCGCTGCCACCTTGCTGGTCCCCGTGTTGCTGGGGACTGGGGCTGGTTTGCACTGGGATTGCAGCAAGGGCAGGCAGGGTGGACTCAGTGCCAAAGTGGGCACCATTTTCACAAGAACTAGACAAGTCTTGTGTTCTTCCCCCTGCAAGCAGCGCCGTGGCACTGCCCAGCATCGCTGGTGTGCCCTCTGTGCGCTCCTGTCTCAGCTGAGAGGACCATCTTTACTCCCAGCGCTACTAGAAGTGGTCCATGGAGCTCTTGTTTCAGGCACTTTGCAAATTGAGGCAGATGCAGCATGGCCACTGGGAAGTTTTGTGACCTGGTGCAACACGAGAATGATCCCAGACTTTCTTTGCTTTATTACAAAGGCAGCCCCAGATGCTGTGATTCTGTGCACGCAGCATCTCCCTGCCCCAGGCTGCTGTACCCCCATGTCTTATCCCCTAATAGCTCCCCACCTTTGTTTTTTTGATTTTCTGCAGGTTATGTGAGGTACGGATTACCTTAGGACTTACCTCCCCATGCTGACACTTTTAACAGGGTGTGGATCCGTGGATTATCCGTGGTGCTGGCTCTATGCATGGAAACACAGTATGTTCCCAATCTCCTGCTGCTGTTAGCTCACATTTATCACAGGAGTATCTGCTTACCTTTGATTTGAGATCCCTACATAAGGGACCCAGGGTGGTATTTGTCTGTGAACTGCTGCGTATGCCTATGGGATTGTATAAGTAAATAAACATAATTAATAATCATCTGACTTCAGAGCAGCATTGGCAGAGAGGTAAACGTTGCCTTCACAGAATGAAAAACAAAATCAGGAGAAAAGGGAGACCTTTCTAGGAGCCGGTATGAATGGAAATAATTGTGTTCAAGCTGCTTCAAAATTATTCTGCAAACATCGTTTGATGGTTTTTAGCAGATCAGAGGCACTGAGTTTATCTCTAAATCAGAATTTTGACCAAAACCATATAAAAATAGCTTTTTTAAAAGATGCCTGCATTTTTTATCAGTTAAAATGCAGATGAAAATAAAATGCCAAGGGTCCTGGCCCTGCTTCAGTGTCTGACCTAGAAGGGAGCAACCCAGTCCCTGCAACACGAGGACTGAACCAGAGGGAGGGACAAATTAGTGTGATTTCCTGGCAAAAAGGGTTTCATGGCATTTTTTTAAATCCTTCAGCTTGCGAGCACATCAGGGGCATCTCGGACTTTCTCATGGTTTGCCATAAGGATAAGCGCTGAAGGGGCAGGGGTCTGTGCTGCTGCCGGCGGCCGTGCGGGACTGGAGCGGCGGAGGAGCCAGCAGAAGAGTGGCTGCGGATGGCACGGGCTTCCCGGTTTCCCGGCGGCTGCGGTGAGCTGGCAGCGAGCCGCCGGCCACAGGCACCCCTGCGGACTGGGGAGCCCTGTGTCAGGGAGCCTCCGGCACTTTCTGCCTCACTTAAACAGTCAGAAGAAGAACTTTCCTGTTTAAAGATTAAACGTTGTCTTTAAATATTAAACAGCAAAGCTCCTCGCTCTTGATTGCGTGGCTGCTGCCGGCAGGCGTCTCAGAATTGCCAATTTTAATTAAAAAACTTTGTTTTCCAACGCAGCCCAGTGATGGCTCCTCCTCCTCCGACCCCACCCGGGGCTGGCTGGCCTCTCCCCTGGCCTGCCTTCATCTCTGCCTCTGTGCCTGCATTTCCCTCTGCCTGCAGCAAAGTGACGGTCCCTGCCAGCCCCGAAGTGTGAGTCTGGGACTGATCAATGCCCCTGGCACTTCCTTCCAAAACCCCAGGAAAAACAATTAAAACCTGATCGATCCTGCAGGCAGCTTTGAATATGCATAAGTGCACACTTGACCTTCAGTGGTCAGGCCAACTTCCACCCCGGCTGCTTAACTAGTTTGCTCAGGTATTGCGGCTGTACCGAATGACCTTGATTAGGAAAGCAAAATGCGATGCAAAGATGGCCCCGGTGCTGATCCTGGGGCCGGGGCACGCGCCCACGGCTCCCTGCTGATGCTGCTGCCGCAGGGCTGGGGGAGGCAGGCAGGGGTTTGCACTAGCGCCCAGCTATCAGGAGCTTTCCAGAGCTCTCCCCATGGCTTTCCCAGGATCCTGCCAGCCTCCCACTGTGCTCCCTTGGTTCCTCCTGGCTGGGGTCCAAGGGATGTGTCTGGGCTGAGAAGGCAACCTGCGATACGGTAGCTCAGAGCCTGCCTTCCCCCAGTGCAAGGACAGCCCTGCTCCCTCCCTGTCCCATGCATCCTCCCTCCGAAGCGGGCGGGGACACCCCTTCCCCAGGGATGCCGCCCATTGCTGGCAACCCCGAGCCTGGATCCACTGGTGCTGAGCGTGGGGACCTTCCTGCGCTGTGCCTGGACTTGCTCTTTGGGACAGAGCCCAGGAGAGGGAGCCACACGCGGAGCCGCCGCTGCCGTCACCCAGGGCCACACGGCCGGTGGGTGGTGGGGTCCCATCCTGCACCCTGACCCCCAGTTCCCCCCTGCCCCGCGGCCAGCCAGCCTGCATCCCAACCACGGCAATGAAGATACCAGAGCATGTTTGTTGAAGGCAAAGGAAACCTCCCTGTTGTGTACACAAAGTGTGATTTCAGTGAATTATGCATAGACTTAATTAGGAGTTTTAATTGCTAATCATCTCCCAACAGGATTAGCAATGCTGTCTATTAATTATCTGTGGAGCCCCCTGTTTTGCTAAGGCAGGAGTAACAAAGCAGCATGAATGGTTACGTAGGCCAGTAATAAATTAACTCCCCCAAGCCCCGTAGCTCCCGGGGGGCTGCTGGCAGCGGGGGCTGCGTAGGGGCCGACCCTGCCCGCGCTGGGCAGAGCAGCAGGTAGGGAGGGCAGAGGGGTTGGCAGCAGATCCCCGTGGCAAGGTAGTGGGCTGGTGGGGGGAACCGCTCAACTCTGCTCATCCAATTCAGCCCCGTTCCCGCTGCAAAGAGCATCTCCCCTGGCGTTCCCAGTTGACGGAGGGTGTCGGCAATGCCCCGCTGCACCGTGGCCGTGGTTAGCGATGATCCCCACTGCAGGAGGGAGATAGGGGCTGCTGGATTGACCTGATCTCATCTGGGGACAATGGCCCTCACGGCAGCAGAGATAGCGCCGATGTGAGCGACGCTAAGCCCACGCGCCCTTCTTACTGCTCACAATGCAGCGCTGAGCTTAATTCCTCAAGATGAAGAAGATACGTGGCTGTCAGGCTGTAATTACAGCCGTGCGTGTGACATGGAGGCCTGGCTGCTTTCATGTTTGCGTTGTCCAGTGGATTTTTGTGCTGCTCGGGCTCCTGCCTGCCTCACTCCTGCTGGGAGCCCTGCCAGGGGACGCGGCAGAGATGGAGCAGGCTCCCTCCGGCCAGGCTGCGGGCTCTGTGCAGTGGGGTGAGCAGTGCTGGCTCCTGGTGATGGAGAGTCCCAAGGCAACTGGGGCTCTGGGGATGGAAAGGAGAGGGGAGGCTGGGAGGGCTGTGCTTGCCGGAGGGGAAGGGGGATGCCAGCCAAGCCAGCCTGGGCACGGGCACCCCTTTCCAAACCCCCCTGACTCCTGGTGCTGGCCCCATCCTTGGGAGGATGACGTTGGAGCAACCCAGGGACACGTGAGACGAGCTTGCAGCCCCTGGCTCGCCCCAGCATGGCAAAGGTGGCCTCAGGTGATGCTGATTCGGCACAGTGCCTAGCAAACCTCATGAGGGTTGTCACCCATACAAGGACAGGCCCTGGACACCTCTGCATCAGGTGGGACAGGCCAGGGTGAGGGTGCTTTGCACAGGCGGCTCCAGGAGAGCTGCTGCCAGGGCAATGCGTGGGTCTGCACTCAACACGGCAAACACAGACCCACGCTGGCCCCAGGAGCGGCCAGGCCTGGGCGAGTACAGAATGTGTCTGCACATGGGCTGTGCACTGGTCTGACCCTCTGCTTCTCTCTTCCAGGCGTACAGCTTTGCCATGGGGAGTTGGCCAAAGAACGGGCTCTTAGACATGAACAAAGGACTGAACCTACAGCACATAGGGAGGCCTCACAGCGGGATAGGTGAGTGATGCTGCCCTGCACCCTTCCCATCCCTGCGGCTGCTGCTCCGGGTGCGCGGGACGTGCCTCGGCTCCGAGAGCTGGTCCAAGCTGGGGTGCTGAGAGCCAGCCAAAGGGCTGCGGTGTCTCCGGCTGGTGGAAGGGACGAAGATGTGTCAGGGCAGGATGGGCACACAGGACGAGCTCTTGGTCCATGGCACATCCCAGTGTGACAAACACAGCTGCCTGTCCCTCTGGCCAGGGATCTGCTCCCCTCCTCGGTCACTCTGGCAGTGCTCGGGCTGGGGGTGGATGTGGGCAGTGCCAGGGCTCGCATGGTGCCTGGAGCACAGGGCGGGAGTCCCCAGGCTGGGCGGGATGCTCTCCCTGTCAGGCCAGTCCTCCAGCTGCTCTGGATGCTGCGTTCGTCCTTGGAAAGGAGGCTCTGCCAAGCAGTGCAGCTTCGGGAGCTGGCTGGAAACACGCTGCAGAGTGAAGATGCGTGGCCCCAGCTGGAGGACTGAATCATCGTCCCGTTTGCTCACACATGTGATGAGTTTCATGGTCCCACAGCCTGCTCCAAGATAAACAACTGAGACTACCATGAACAGTGGCAGAGCTCCATGTTTCCCCTAGCTCCTCCGCACCAGGGATCAAAGTGATATGAGGAGGGAGACCTGGCCCAGGACACTGAGGCCGTATATCTGCCTGCTGCATAATGCTGGGGGTGGAGAGCTGGAGCAGCAGCAGGCTGCACTATGGGCAGGAGCTCAGATTTACTGAGCCTTAGGCAGGGCTGTAACTCAGGGCTGCATCGCTCTTGCCTGTCTTATTTCTGTGCGGGGTGTTGGATCACCTCTTGGAGATCAGCGATCAGGTGTTCCCTCTGTCTCCCAGCCCTTCATCCACGGCGACTTGTGAGCATTAAAGTTTGCAAGGAGGTAAGATTTACTTGGAAAAGTCACCAGCTACCTGGGCCTTGAGGAGGCTGTTTAATATTGTTTCAAGACTCTAACCATTAAACTCTCCAATCAATCCAAGTTAAGGAGATGAATTATTTAAAGCTCACCAGCTTTTAATTAGCAAGCTCCTTTTGAACTATGGATCTGGTTGCATTATTGACGGAGGTAGCATTAAAATTTGCTTCCTTGCCTGGGAGCAGATTTGCCTTGCTTGTGTGCCATGTTGGGGGGATCATGGGGAGGGATCGGGGACTGCAGGAGTTGTGTGTGTGTGTCCTGCTCTGGGGGCTTGGGCTTTTCCTAGGGTCTCCTGGGGGATGCAGGGTTGGTTTGTGCCTCGTCTTTTCGCATTTTATTTATGGCAAGAGCTCTCTGTTGCTGTCATCTCTTACTCTGACAAAGTGTCCCCAGCTCTGGAGTATCATCTGTCTGCCGTAGGTTTCTGCCCGTGTTTATCTCAGTGCTGTTGTCTTGCACAGGTGTCTCTGCCTAATGGAGTTCAGAAGGATGCTGTTCATGTCCCTCCCGACTCCAGTCCTTTGGGAGGGTTTCGCTTCTTCATTTCTGCCAAACTTCCTCTATGAGGGAGCATTCCCGGCTCTCCCCGGTACAGGGTGAGCCACGGGCAGATTGCCCACAGAGAAGCAGCATGTCAAGGCCCAGCAGCCAAGCTCCCTTCTTGCAGTGCTCCATCCCAGTAGCAAACCTGCCTTTCACACACTGTTGGGGAGGAGATTTACATGTGTGCTGTGAAGGATGCCAGGCCAGCAGTGTGATGGTCTCCATCTCCCTGGCACTGCCAAGGATGCACACGTGCCCTGTGCGTTGCAGCCTGCTGGCTGCTCCATTTGGGCTGGGTCCAGAGCAGCCCTGCCCTGGATGTCTGTGATCCTCTGCCTGCCTGCAGAGGCAGCGGCCGCTGGCACCCTGTGCCTGGTGGCTTTACTGCAGGCTGAGCCCCTGGGAGTGAGCTGGAGGCACAGCTCATTGAATGGCTTCTTGGGAGCCCCAGGCACAGCTGCTGCCTGCGGTGTCAAGGCTGCTGGCTTTGGGGCTTGGTAAGCCAGCGTCCCTCCTGGGAGAAGGCTCGGGGCAATGCTGGTATCTGGAGACATGCCTTGCTTGGCATTTTGTCAGGGCACCAGCCTCCTGGGCTTCTGGCCACTTCATTTCCCAGCCTTCTGGCTTTTCAGGTCCTAGTCATGGATCAAGTGACAGCCTGAGAGGTCCCCAGGCCAGGGGCCGAGGAGGGGCTGCTCATTGCAGAAGTGGGCTGGGCTGGCTTCCTTGGGTCTGGCTTTGCTACCTCATCCTGGAGCAAGTGTCAGTCCTGCACAGCCGAGTCCTTCAGTACCAGCCACTGGGACTGGGCACGGTCATCCCAGTTGCTGACGGTTGCCCTGTGACCTGAGCAGTCTTCATCGCTCTCCTTCATGCTCTAAACTGCTTTTGCTTCAGGGCTGGGAGGAGCCATCTCTTTCC